TGGTCCCAAACCCATGGGCTCAGGCAATCCACTCACCTTGGCCTCCCAAAGTGCTGGACCACAGGCTGGTCAGCTTACACTTCCAATATTTTCTCAGATCTCTATTCTTCCCTGATCAGGGCTCTGAATTTGATCTTTTTTGAAACAGTGCTGTGAGTGGGAAGCTTTGCTGTCTCTTGTGATTTTGAGAGCTGAGTAAGGTGGAGAGTGGGGAACTAGAATTCAGAAAGTACTTGCAAATCACAATTTTCACTGATTGTGTTATAGGTTCCCTGAGACCCACTCCTCACCACTGTTTTGTATGACAATGCAATGGTTACATGTGTGTACCCCTTGAGTCCAAGATACAGTAACAGCAATAAAGAGAACAGAGAAGTAGAATGAAATCAGACAGACAAAAATTTAAAAAATAAAAAATAAAAAACACAGAAAAGCAAAGGCATAAAACAAAGCAAGATACAATTAAACACCACACACATGCACACACACACACACACACACACACACACACACACACACAAAACCCCAAAATAATCAGGAAAAATAACAAGCAAAATAAAAAGAAAGCAAAAAACAGAAAAATTTAACCCCCCCACATGCCCGACACAAAACAAAAAGAAAAGAAAAAAAAGAGAAAAATAAAAAGAATTCAAATCAAACCCTCACACATGCATTCACTCACATATTAAACTAAAAAAACAGAAGAACAAAACAAACAGACAAAGAAAAAACTGAATGTTGAACACTCAATCATTCCTATACACACATAAACAGAAATAAAAAATAAATAAATAAATAAAAGAAGAAAGAAAGGAAAAAATTTGGGGGGAAATGCAGATCAAACTCTCACATGCACATTCATGCACAAAGGAAACAGAAAACAAACAAACATAAAAACAAAAAATAAACCTAAAAACAAAAACCTGTCCTCTTGTGGCAGGTTCCGTAATTGTTCCTGTCAGCTGCTCACAGGTAAGCCCTTCTGCTGTCTTCTGAAGAGTTGTGACCTTATTTGCAATCTCCCTAGTTTCTGCCTGGGGAAGAAGGAGGCAGTGTGGGTATGGGTGGGACTTAAGTTCTCCCCACCCACTCTTGTATGATGGGAGATCCCCACTGGTGGGGAGGTGCAGGATTGTCTCTTTCTCAAGTACTGCTTGTAGGGGGGTGCCCCAGACAGGCTTATTCTGGAGTAGAGTCCTCCTATTGCAGCTGATGTCCAAGCTTCACCTGCGTTCATTCCTCTCAGTCTTGCCCCAGCTGTGTGGGTCTGATGTTCTGAGGATTGCTGGAGAAGAGGGGGCTGGGTCAGTCCTGGACTCACCACTGATCTCTTCAAGGGTCATCCTATTCTGGTCACACCCTTTGTCCTACAGCTGAATCAGGTTTGTGGGTGGGGCGCCTGAGACACAGGAATCATCTTCTCCCTCTAGAGTTTGTGCTTTCAGTATATTACTTCTGAGTCATGATCAATCCCTGAGTAGTTAATTCACTGGCCACAGAGATAGGGTCTGTCAGTCTATGGTGTGCAAACCCTGCCTAGTTTTCAAGATGGTGGCAGGGTGCCTCTTTATTTTCTCCTGTTTGGCCCTGCCTCTGGGCTCCCTTGCTGTGCTCCCTCCACAGACCTTGCTGCCAGTGTGCGACCAGGTGCTGCAGTGGTGAGGTAGAGCCTGAAGTTGACAGTCACTCCTGGCAGCTTCTTCCCAGGAATGGCCTTGCTGATTTTTAAAAAAAATGACACTCAGCTTCTGCACCCCAGGAAGCACTAGGGACCAAGCAGAGCAGTTGCAGCACCAGCCATTTCACCAGGGGAGCCCTGGCCACTTGTTCCCAAGTCCCCATTCAGTCAGCCACTCACACACCCACTTACTCACAGACACCTATGCAAAATTTTCCATACAGTAACTCACTCACTCACTCTGGGACTCACATAGTATGAATGGCTCTGCTGCCATCTTCCTCCCTTCCCCCTCACAATTATTTTAAAATAAAAAAATTATTCTAAAAATAGAGTTTGTCAAAAAAAAACTAAAAACATTAAACGTATGACTATAATATAATTCAGCCACTCCATGTCTAGGCTTTTGGCCAAAAATACCGGAAATACATGTGTCCACAAACATGTGTAAAAATGCTTATAACAGTTTTATTTGTAATATTCCTGAACTGGAAACATCCCAAATGTCCATCATCAGGGGAATGGATAAGCAAACCATTGTATATTCATATAATAGAATACTTAATAATATAAATGGAATAAACTATTGATACATATAGCAAGATGGATACATCTCAAAATAACTGTAATAAGTGAAATGATCCAGATAGAAACAAGTGACTACTATATAATTCTGTTTATACAAAACTCTAGGCAATACAGACCGTTTTACAGTGACAAGAAGACAATTGTTGTAGGAGAAGGGCAAGGATTTCAAAAGGGCACCAGGAAACATGGGAATAATTATTATTATCATTATATGTATATTATTCATGGTATCTTAATTATGATAATAGTTTAACAGTAGTGTATACATATATCAATCAGCCTTTACAGAATATATACTTTAAATTGTGTAGTTTATTGTATATAAATTATGCCCCAATAAAGCTGTTTATTTAAAAAATTCCACTCAGTTATGTTCAAGAAAAGGGAGATAATTATCTTAGGCTCATGTGGAATGTCTACTACTAACTAAATATGTATTAATGTACCAAATACTTGACATTTTGGGGACCAGTTTCTTTATTCTGAAAAATGAAGTATGACCCTTAAGATCTTTTATAGTCAGATACATCAATAATAATCCTAAATGTAGTTCTTCTGAAACAATTTAAAAGAAATTTAGTTGCGTTAATTTCAAACAAATCTTTACTTGAACTTGCCTAATCAAGTGTTACTAATTAGGAATTTTAAAGTTCAAATGGGAATTAATACTTAAGAATTATTTGTAGTATTTTGACTATTTTTCTGAAAATCTATTCTGGTGTCAGGCAATGAATTAGAAGTTTTTTGTTTCTTTTTAAATACAACTTTGTTGAATTTAACTCATGTGCCATATATTTCAGCCACTGAAAATGTATAATTAATTATCTTCTAGGATATTCACAGTTATGTGCAACCATCACAATTGTCAATTTTATAATATTTTCATCACTTCAGAAAGAAACCCCAAACTGCTTCATGGGAACATGATTTCATTGTGCAGTGATGAACATGTTCTGGAACTAGATAGTGGGGTACCAATTGTGAATATACTAAATATTACTGAACTTTATACTTTAAAATGGTGTATTTTATGTGATGCTATATTTGCCACACACAAACGATGCACCCATACACTTTGGGTATCATCCCCTATCATTCACTTCCTCCCCACCAGCCCTAAGCAACCAGTAATCTACTTTGTCTCTATAAATTTGCTTATTGTGAAGATTTCTCATAAATGGGATCATGTAATCTGTGGTCTTTTGTTACTGGCTTCTTTCACTGAGAATAATGTGTTCAAGGTTCATCCATGTTTAGTGTGTCAGCACTTCATTCATTTTTATGGCTAAATAGTATTTTTAATCATACTAGAATACATCACATTTTATTTATCCATTCATCAGTTGATAGACCTCAGGTTGCTTTCACTTTTTGTCTTTTGTAAATAAAGCTGTTTTGGACATTTGTGGACAAGTTTATGTGTGGATGTATTGTTTGATTTCTGTTGGTCATATACCTAGGAGGGGCATTACTGCCCCATATGTTAACACTATGCTTAACCATTTGAGGAATTGTCAGACTGTTATCCAAAGGGCTGCACCACTTTACATTCCTACCAGCAGTGTATGAGGCTTTAAACTTCTCCATATCTTACCAATACTTATTATAATCTGACTTTTTAATTATAGTCATCCTAGTGAGTATAAAGAGGTATCATGTGATTTAGATTTGTGTTTCCCTGATGTCTAAGGATGTCAGGCACCTTTCCATGTACTTTTTGCCAAGAAATATTATCCTATAGTCAATATTTTGCCCAGGCTATCAGGGGATTCACAGACCCTTAAGGTTATAAACCCCTAGATAAGAGTTATTGGATGCACACATGGAAAGAAATTGTCATGAAAGTAATTATCAATTACATTTAAACATATTAAATAATATAAAGTATACTTGTTTTATTTGTACTGCTGTATATTCCATAAGAAAACGAAGAGAATAAATTTTAACATTACTTGCACTGAAATATTAGACTAATTTCCACTACTTGATTCTTAATTGCAGTGGAGAGAGAAGAGTCCTATTCCTATCAGAATGAGAAGCATAACTACACAACACTATCTTAAACGAAAGGGAAATCCCGCAAATTGAGTGAGGTAGAAAATATTACCTGTCTTTTTTGGAACAAATGAGAATGTACTAAACAGAAGTAGAGATAAAATTGTTATCTATAAACCGAGAGGCACCTGTGAAACAGGAGAGTGAAAAGAAGTCTGAGCATGTGCTAAATGGAAGGCTCAGTCATTTTTAGGAAGAGCACTGGATGTTGGGAAAAACAAAACATCATTCAACAAGAGTTAACAGTTATTTTGGCTGAGTACTAGCTTACTACTGCTTCTGCATCTTTACATTTATGACATATGAAGACTGTCTGTTCCCAAAGAGTAAGATGAACATTTGTACAGTGTTCCAAAAAGTCACCTACAAAATTTGGACTTTTGCTGTGACTTGATGGAATAACAATGGCCTTAGCTTTGGGAACTCGAGAAACATTGCTTAGGTAGCTTTGGGAGGGTCATTACATTTCCTTAGAACCTGAGAAATACCTTGTTATGTGAGAAGTTTATACATTTGCATTTCTTAGAGCAATCACCCTTGGTCTCTCCACCAAATCACCTTTTAGAGAATGGAATGATTTGGAGTTGCAATTCAAATCCTGTGCAAAATCCCTTCTAGGATGTTTCATCACTTAACTGCAAAGACAGCAAAGAAAGATAAGCAATTTTAAATTCTGTACCTTATTTCACCTTCTCTAATGTGACCTGCCAGTTCTTCAATAAACTTCTCCCCTTTCATCCAGTAGATCATTGGCCCAGACTCTCCACTGAATCCAAAGAATGCTTTGCAAGGGATGTTCAGAGGCTTACCTGAGAATGAGAGAAAACGAAATGAGCAAATGATTCCTGGTTATCACTAGGAGACAGGAAAGGACCATTTAGCATCCAAAGAAGAACTCAGAGGTGACCCAATTTTCAACTCTTCTTCCAATCATCTTATTATTGTACATGAAAAAAAATTTTAAATAGTTATGAAAGCTTCCAGGAAAATTTAAAATTCAAGGTATTATCAAAAAGAAGAAAATAAAGTTACTCAGTTTTTAGAATTGCTTACTTTTACTGTCTCCCTCTCAGGAAATAATATGAAAGAATCAAAGGAAAGCAATATATATATATATATATATTAGTGTTAAGCACTGCTACCTGAACTTGCCTATGAAGCTAACATCAATCAAAGTTATAAGCTAATTTCTGATCTGTGAGATGACATATCTAATAGACTATCCACTGTTATTAAGATTGCATAGAGAAAATCTGTTTATTATGATTATGATCTATTTAAGAAAAATTGAATAATACAAACTATAATGTTATTTTTAGGTGTCAACTTAACTAGATTAAGAGATATCTAGCTAGCTGATAAATCATTATTTCTGGATATGTCTGTGAGAATGTCTCCAGAAAAGATTGGTATTTGAGTTGGTCACTGAGTTGAGATCTGTGTCAATGTGGGCGGGCATAATCCAAGTAACTGGGGTCTTGAATATTATAAAAAGTAGAGGAAGGATGAAATTCTCTCTCTCTCCCTCATCTGAAGCTGGAACAACTTTTCTCTCTTGCCGTCAGGCAGCAGAACATCAAGTTCTCTGGCCTTTGGACTATGGGACTCCTATCAGCAACCCTCTCCTCCCTACCCCTCCTCCCCAATGGGTCTCAGGTTTTTTGTCTTGGGCTGAGAATTATGCCATTAGCTTCCCTGGTTCTGAGGCCTATAGCCTTGAACTGAGTCATGCTACTAGCATCCCTGGTTCTCCAGTTTGCAGATGGCCTGTAGTGGGACTTCTTAATCTCCATAATCGTGTGAGCCAATTCCCCTAATAAATCACTTTTTAATCTATCTACCTACTAACCTATCTCATATTGGTTATTTCTCTCTGGAAAACTCTGAATAATACACAAAACAAAGAGAAAATGTTTGGATTACAAATACATCTATTCAAAGTACGTGCAGGGAAAACTCAGTCTTACTATATCTTCTGTATTCTTTATGTCACCCACAGTGCTTAAATAGTTCTAAGCAGTATTTTAGCACTTTTTATATGCATCTTTGTGATTACAACTAGAAACTTTGTTTTAATTGTAAATATATAAGCAATTGTTTTGTGCTGACATTGATTTTATTTTCTTCTGGCAAAGTAAATCAGTAAGAGAAGGACAGTATAGAGATTACAATCTTCACATTTTGGACACTTACAGAAATCTCCCAATTCATAAATCATATTATAGCATACAATTTTCTCCATGACATGCAATCTTTGCTTTGGTTAGAGAACTAGATAAAGCAAATTCAAAATCATTTTTTCCTTATGGACTTCATGGTGGACTCGTTTCCATCATTACTCTGAACCAAGGAGAAATGATCTATTTTACACCTAAATCAATCTCAAATGCCCATGTTCTAAGAACCATTACTTTGTGGAACCATTTCTCCTTAATCTCCAGAATTAACTTTGTCTGAAGACCATTTTCACAAAGAAGCAATCTCCAAAACTCAAAACCAAAACAAAACAAAACATAATTGTTAGAACCTTTCTTGTCAAAGGTATATCTCCAGAATTAGCTTTGTCTGAAGACCATTTTCACGAAGAAGCAATTTTAGTGGGAGTTAGGGTGCATATTAAGACAAAGTAGAGATTAAGGAAACCTCATAGACATGTGAATGCTGAGTGATAGGCTGGGCTGACCCATAATAAGTGACTTGTATCCAAATATTAGTTTTATTACAATGCAGATCTATACCTCAGCAAAATATTGTGGATCTTTCAATCAATCCATAAATCAGACCTGGTTTGATTTTAATGGAGAAAAACAATTATAGCAATGTGCAAAAAGGGGCCTCCTTGAGGTAGTCTATCAAATATGACAGTGTCTGCTGTTTTCTTGGCATGACACACAAGGTACTGACTATTGTAGCAGTCTCTCCTGGGAGGAATGTTTTTACTGTCTCATCAGACAGGTTCTTGTTAAATAAACAAAACAGACAGATATTTCATCAATCTAGTTTCTACAAATACTGAATAAATACCCTAAAGCCTTTTGTTAATGACCAAAACCAGGAAAACCAATACTCAGAGGAGGGTCCCAAAATAATCAGCTCTTCTGCCAGATAGTGAGACTCAACATGTGCCAGAGGAGGAGTGGGCACCTCCTTTTCTAAAAAGCATAAGAGGGATCTCTGCATTGATCGAAAAAATAATCTGAAACATAATCTTTCCAGGCATTTCTAAAATCTGGCTTATGTGCCAACTCCTATCCAACCTTTACATCTGTTTGCTACTGTATTGTTTTGCCTTCAGACATTCTTAAAGTATGCCCTGTTAATAGAGATAGGTAACTTACATTTGCATCCAAAGTAGGTTGAAGGCTATCAAAATAAAAAGAACTTATACTGTGATGCATCAGTGATAGGCTTCCTGGAAAGTGGCATACATGTAGTGGATTGGCTCTTGTTGCCCTTGCATTCCATCAGTTCCCTTTCTCTGAGAGTTCTGTGAGCACCTGCATTGTAAGAAGGTTGCCTACAGACTTAACAATCTAGAAATCTCAAAAGGCTTAAATTTTACATATCTGCTGGACACTTTATAAATGGATATAATCTGATTATTAATGTGTTCAAGAGGAGAGTCTCCAGGGAGAGAGATCAAACACATATGTCCCATTGAGTTTTCTTGAATTTTAGAGACTAAACTTTACAAAACCAGATCATGAGGTAAATCAAAGTGTAATGAAGGCTGTGATGGTAGTGGTAGTAGGGTTTGTGTGCTTCTCTCTCTCTCTCTCTCTCTCTCTCTCTCTCTGTGAATGCAGATATGTATCACTGGTGACCAGTAAATATTTCAAAATTGGCTTCCTGGAAAAAAGTATGCATATAAATACATAAGTTTATTACAAATTTTACTGCAATAAAGGATACTACACTATTTATAAATTTTATAAATTACAATAAAACATATTATTTTTATTGTAGAGTCCATGTGCTCAATTGATTCCCCCAGAGTGCTTTCATTTATTTTTGTAGAATACATGTAGGCAAATGAAAAAGTATAGTACATTTTCATGAACATTAATGAGAAAGGTGAAAGTAAAACAATGGATGAATGTCAGAACTTCACTCATGCTTCTGGTGTATGTGTGACTTCTTTTGATGAATTAAATAACAGACTCTGGATTTCAAATCCATAGTATTGCTCTTAGAAAAAATTTTTAAAACCTGAGATTGAATTATTTGATGTAAGAGAACTGTAGGTAAGGGTGGAAAGACAAAATCTATTATATTTTGACCGAATGTCTTAGTCTCCTCTTCTACTACTACTTTCTAAAAATTTCTCAGGGACAATTATTTGATCTTTAATACCTTTATTTGGCTTCACCCTCACCTCTTGATGGCCTACGGATTTTATAGAGGCCAGAGATAACTATTAATGCCCTTTTTTTGCCAAACAGTTTTTCTCCATTTTTTATTCTCTTTAAATAAATTCAACTTCTTTTAAAGTCTCTTTGAACTTGTCCTATTATCTGTATTTCTTGGGATGCATTTACTTTTCATTTGTGTCAGGAGAAGCACCCTCATGATGGTTTATTTTCTTGTGAGGTTTGTAATTTCATTACTGTGTTTTCATCTACAGTGGAAATTGTTTTCTGTGGGAGTCCTGGATGTTGAAGATTGCAAAGGAATTTTCTCAGAGTAGTTCCAAGTTTGCCTCTGCCAAGGTCCTACAAGTTTTACTGGTTTGAAACCAGTTTTTCTGTTAATTTCTTAGCTTGGAGGTTTGTGCCATATATGGGTTGTATGAATCTAAAGTCCACACCCATGTATGGTACAGGTTTAGAGTACCAATTTATCTTAACTGTCTCTTTCCATTCATGACCATGGCCCTGGACTGAATGTAAATTTCCTGTCTGCTTTTATGGACCAATGAGCAGAGATTTATAGGCCCCATTTCATAAACTTTTAGGCTTTACAAACCATTCAGGTTTCTAGATTTTTGCTAGAATATTGGTTCTAGCTTCATACTTTACACCAATCCTGAGCTCAAGTCCTTAGAGCCCTAAAGTTCATATCTAGTTTGATATCCCCAGCAGCTATTTAACTTCAGTTTATACTTTTTTTCTCCAGTTTTGAGTTCCCTGTTCATCCTCAAAGCCTGAGAATTTCCCTCACTTGCTTTTAACCTGAACTAAGCATGTAAAATATTTGCTCTATTTTGACCACCATTTCTCTGTGATTAGAACAAGGGCTGAGTCTTTACCATATCAATTCAGTCTACCATATTGACTAAGTGTCTTTAAGTTCTACCACAGAAGCCTACAAATTGCATAATTTCTACCTGTATTAAGTTAATTTTATTTTCACCATTCTTACCAAGAAGTTAAACACAGAGTTTATATTCCTGTTACCACTAATATAAACAGAATCACCTTTCTTCCCTGGACTCAGACTTTGATTTGACCTTTCAAGATGAGATGAAAAGGAAATGGATAGTTGTGGAGCCAATGGGAAAGTTCATCACTTTCCACTGCGCTTTATGTACTTAAGTTTGGAGCTTCACTTTCAAGCGGTTTATTCCTTCCTTAAAAAGAGAATCCCCAATAGGGCACATTATTTTATTTCTACTTGTGACAGCGCTCAGAGTCACATGCTCCAGTCTAGTAGTCCAGTGTCAGAACCCATGGAGCACAAAGGCATGCTACTTTCAGTTGTGAGGCATATTTTGATAAGTTTGTTGCTAATAATGCACTGAAGCTTGTAAATTTCTTCCTAAAAAATTTATAGCAAACCTTACGTCATCACTATATTAGTATCGT